TTAGAGCACCGCGGAGGGAGCGACCTTGTCAGGCGAAGCAGTGACTGCATGAGGATGTAATGCCAATGATGTTTACGAAGCTTTAGAAGGAGGTTGCAAAATAAATGCATTTAATTAATATTTTGTTTTCGTCTGTGTGTCCTTTGTGATTTTAAGTGCAAAGTCACTTAGCTCTGAATGCCAAAGTCAAGTTATATCACATTGCACAGAATAGATCCAATTGTGATTCAAAATTATATTCGACCCAAAATCAACAAAGAAATTATAGAAAAGTACATATAAAGTCTGCAAAATATTGCATTAAATTTTTTTTTTAAAAAGTTAAACTTTGGACTGTAACATTTACATTGGTTTGTTTTCTTTTTCAGTGTAGTGATGCCCGCAACATGGCACGAGATGTCAATGAAGTGCTAAGAGAGGTGATAATGGAAGAAGGCGGCAAGGATAGGGCACAGGCAGAAGATTACATGAAGAAATTACAATCTAAAGGAAGATACGCCGCTGATGTATGGAGTTAAATAATTTACTACGGATGTATGAAACGGAAATTGAAAATTGCTGACATTCCACGTTTCAGTTGACCTCATTTTCCCATTCCATTGGTAATATAAAAATTTGATGAACGCACATTTTACAACACAAGTACGTATGTAAATTATAAAGATACTATTCTATTTGAGGTCCATTTTTACTATTTCTGAAACCAAAATGTTTCTATTAAAGGATGAACATGACCAACAGACCCCTTTGCATGATAGCTATTTCAAATGTTGTTGTCCTGAAATTGAGAGCCATATTGGTTCAAATGCATTTATGATGTCATATACAAAGGGTCTATAAGTTCAAACAGAGCTATCATCTGAAGAAATAACTGTAATTGTCGTTAACTGTTTAATATCTATATGTATATTTTCTAAATTAAATATAAACAAAAAATGTTGTAAATCCAAAAGATGACTTTTCAATAATAATTTATACTGATCAGTGTTTGTTTCCAGTGGTGAATGCTCTTGTAGTACTGCCATTACACCACTGAAAACTAGGTGTGGTTTTGGAGAATTATAGTGATGACTCTTTTTCTGAATTCCATGTATTCAAAGAGACTTAGTTGGCACGTCATGTTCCATTGTTTACAAAATCAAATGCATGTTGCAAACTGACTTGTGCTTTGGCATAGCAGGTCAGCATAGCTTATTTCGATTGATATTTGAGGAACTACTTTTATCCAAAGTTGTTGACAAGAGGAGAGTAACCAACATATTGATTCATTCGTGACTTTTAAAATAGATACATTATGTATTTAAATAACGGCTGTTTCTTGGTACCTGCCAGAAGTTCTTAGACTATTTTTTACATGAGCCATGATTTCTTTATATACCTTTTGGTTTGGAGGTGTCGATAACCGAAGAAATGCAATGACTGATATCAGCAAGTGTTTATTATCACAATGGATGGATGTTTGAGATTCCTTTCCAGTCTCGTTGAAATCTCCCCTGAAAATACACATTTTGTGATACATAATAAAAAAAAATTTTAAATCTGTAATTACCGGTAATAAGGGTAAATAAATCTTTTTTTCACAAGTTTGCGCCCTCAAAGTTTGCTGTGGGAGAGGCCTTTCAGGTGAACGGGGGGTAATCCATTATTTGGCCGACATTGATCTTTCAATTATTGTAATATAATAAATACACAATATTTCAGTAATTTGGAGTTTGAAGATTAGCCAATAACATCTTTCTTGCAGAGATTCGCCTACCTCATAGAAATATAAAGTTTTTGGGTCTTCATTTTCTCTAGTATTCCAATAAGAACCTAATAAAAAAAGGGCAATAAAGTCCCTCCTTTCTTATTTTGAAATTTTTCAAAATATTAATCCATAAATCATAGTAAATTATATGAAATTTGAGAAAAATGTGATTTGTACTTGAATAAAATATTGTTTTACGCTGCATTTCATCATATATTTGTGATGCAAGTGCTGTATCAAATGTAACGTCACTGGAATTGATTAGTACATGCGTTTCACAAAGTACTGCATCAGGTGTCAATATTGTAAACTACAAGAAGAAGTCTTCAAATCATAAAATTGCGTTGTATGGATCACATCCTCCCACACAATTAGGGTTGGAAATGCGATACTAGAAAGATATAATTCCTAGATGGCGTCACTTTGACTGAAATAACGTTTCAACATGGAAAATACTCCCCCTAACATTTAATTATAATTCGTTTACATCTCGTAATTGACAGTCACAAAAACCTGAACGAAGACCGTCATTGATTCATGATTGATATACGTTTCATTAACGATAAATGGTGCACTCTTTAATTCACAGTATCATTTTAAACGCATGTACTGATCAATTCCAGTGATGTAAATTGCATATAAAATGGCCATCTTAAGGGACAACATCAAAAGTTCAATGTAGGATAAATTAAATCCTTTAGTTTTTTTCCCAAACCCCCCTACCCCCCACTGAAACTTAATTGATAAATATTGACCATGGCGTCAGACTACATTCACTAATAAATACAAATTGATAATCCGACAGTACCGGTAGTATGGCATAGCAGTTGGTTACCGGGTGGGTGTAAAAAGACTTTACACTCGGACCAAACCATTTTCTCGTCTTGGATGTTTATTTTCTGTTATTTTTGGCTATGATTGGATAGAAAAAAACGAATAACAAATAGTCCAAGATTTTTTTGATTTCGTTAAAAAATAAAATCGTTTTTGTAGGATAGAAACTTTTTGAAGTCAAAACCCCCCACCCCCAAACTAAAGCAAATAAGTTTTTTATCCGACATCGATCTTTTGACGTCGTCCCTAATAGGGTTATCCCTTTACTGAAAATTGTATAAAATGTGATAATATTTTGCTTGTTTAATCTTTTTAATGAAATATGAATTATACATGCATATTTTGAACAAACTGATAAATATCCAAAAGTATGAATAAAACATTTTTTCTTATGAAATTTATGAATGTAAAATGCTTTGCAACTACCAATACAAGTCACTTCTGTAACATCGTAATGAATTGGATGGGTATAAACCACTGTCATACTGAGTCATTTTGATTATAAAGTTGATTAACAGATTCACTCCTAATGCTAAGAATAGATTTCCCTACACTCATTCACTACAGCAAGTCCTTTGCCCATTTTAAATAGTTTCCAGACTACAGCTACCGGTATATATTTTAGAATGTCCTTTATAGCAGCTGAACTGGCACTGAATGTTTTGTTTTATAGCCAAAAATTTTTAGTGAGTGTATGTGCGAAGTTGTCTGTTCCATAGATATTGGATGTAATTAATGATTTGTACAAGACACTCTTAGCCTCATTGCTATTGGTGCAACAGTATCATGTGACAAAGTATTCTTGAAATGCTCACATCTGTAGAGCCCATCTTTTCCTAAAAGTAGGGGTTATAAGTACTGCTTACCAATTCGAAAATTTCATTGAAATGTGATTAGTACATTGTAGTCGATATCAGTAGAAAAGGCAGGAATCTACTATTATGCAAAGATCTTAAAACATGATCAGTACTCCAGGTATTGATAGAAAAGCAAATTAGGTTATTAACATGCACAGAATTTAACTCAGATGAAAGCATTGTACCTACGTACCATTGAAACTGACACACTACACATGTCAACAAATATTCATTATAATACCTGCGACTGGCCTTGACCAAATTTAAAAGGTCAGGTACATGTTACGAACGATCTGTTCAAGACTTGTATTTTAGACACGACCTAATGTGAAGTTTGAATTAGCCTAGGAACTGTATTCTTAAAAACAAAATGGCCACCAGTCAGTGATTTCGAACTTGATCCGGAAAATAAAAGGATGTTCATCAACTGCCCAGTGTGGAGGGACTGAATGCTTGTACCAGGTTTAAAACAAATGTGTTAAAAAAATCATTTTGATGCAAACAGAGGTCAATCTATAAGTCCCTGTTCTTGGACTTTGTTCGATTGGGGGCTAAAAAAGCAAATCAACTGCAATTATAACAGATTTATTAACATAACTTATATATTAAACACAAGAATAAGTATATATTTATATAACAAAATGTAATCAAAACACATTGCACTGTAAGACTGGGTAGAAATGCATGGCAGAGTAATCATTTATATCCAGAAGAGAATATTATTAGAATATGCTATGTCGTAACCCTGAAAAAATTAGTTATTCATTGATTTTCATTATCTGTTATACATGTACAATATGGCAACTGTAGAGGGCGCTAGATCAACACATTTCCAGGAATAGAGTTAACATGATTTGTGATCAACACTGATTCATAGTAAGGTATGGTACATTTGACTTTCAAATACGACAAACATATTTTGTAAATAACTTTTCATGCCGCAACTAAAATTGAAAAGACAGATTGTTACAGAATAATTGTCAAAATCTCAAGTGTAACCAAACAGGAAGCAATTAGAACATAGGATCCAGAATGCAAATTTGCACCTGCTGTACACATGGCAATGACTAACTTGTACAATGCCTTTAGATAACACATACTATAATTTTTCTACAATTTAACAGTCAACACATTAATTTAACATCAAACTGCTTAATCGGCAGAGAACATGATTCTTGTTTATATACCAAAGACTTCTAGTTGACATTTATACATCTGTCCTCATCTTCTTTGTCAGCCTAGTAGAATATCCTTTGAAAATATAAAAAAGGAACAACTTTAGATTTCATTCATGTAACTATAAACTATCTAGACGAGACCATTTAAGGTAGAAGTCTGCTCATAAAAGCACCCAGAATTTATTGATTTTGCAATAAAGATATCAAATTAAACATTTTGGGGCTCACCAGACTAATTTTTGTGAATATGATGATTGTATTTTAATGAATAGTGGCAATTTATTCAATATTATAACGTTTTTACTACTGACTCCTATGACAGAGATATAATGCCATATCTGGAGGCTGGTGACATAGGCTGAACAAAATTGTATATTGTTAATGGTGGGCCACTTTTTGTTGTCCTGAATTATTTAAAAAATCTGGGTTTTAAAAAGTAGTAAAAATGCAATTTTTACTTTAACATTGTGTTTTATAGAATTGATTTTTGAAAAATATTAGGAAAGTTTCGCAAAATATGGCAATGTAACATACAAAAGAATGTTATTTCATGGTTTTACATAATAAACCGATCAACATTTTCGTGCGATTTTCTCAAAAATTATGAGTACACTTCTACCTTAAGCCACAAGAGGATGGTTCATTTGAATACTCACAATGCCTATGTTAGTTTAAACATATGGGTTCACAGCAGTAACACACTGAGAATACTATAAATGGATTCACTATCACACTAAACTTGCGTCACTCACTGGACCTATCTGGCATGTTCTAAGCTTGTTTTTCATGATTTTTTTTTTTTTAAGTTAGGTACCAAGGTTTCTTAATATTCCTTTCAAGTTAATTCCTTCATTTTGTATTCAAATGTACCGAATTCAAAGTGGATTTGGGGATAAAAACAGTATTTCTTAGTGCCAAGGGAACACTGGTCTCGCCCCACTTGCTGTTGGTGGGCACTTACCGTGACTGGAACACTACACTCACAAAGAATGGGCTCATCACCCACCATCAAATGAAACCACATTAAATAGATTTGTTTTAATGGGAGCCAACTATACTTATTTAATGAATGGCCATCTGAGACATTATTCAATTTGGGTGTTAATAATTATGTCATATTGTAGCAATCGAAGAAAAGTGAAATCAAGGAGTAATACTCACTTTTTGCTGGCTGTTCTTGGGAAGATTCATTATCTGAAGGTCTCTTATGTGTGGAACGTGGAGTAGATCTTGACCTGAAAATGAACATTATGAATCGTCAGACAGACAGACATCCCCACAGTATCTGTACTACCATGGAATTGTGATCGATAACTGCCAAGCATAATTGTATATTCTTTTCCTTAGTTTGAGGAACATGGGTGGGATAAAATGCTTCCTAGCTTATATTTGTTGCAAATCTTGAACAAACACTGGAGCCAACAAAAGAGTTCATAGAACCAACCTAACTTACAAGACACAGGCAGTTGAGGTATGTAAATGTGTCGAAATGGACATAGTGCGAGTGGTTAGTGCTAGTAGCACTAATCCGAAAAACTACTAGATCTAGTGCTAAAATGGCACTAGATCTAGTGCTACAATGTACATAGTGCGAGTGGCATTGATATCGCGTTAACGACGTCAAGACATCCCGTAATTCTCATTGGAAATGTGCTACAGTGGGAAAATTAAGAATGTCATTGTCCACGTTTGTCGTAATAGACCTTTGAAACAACGCGATCAGCCGCGGAACTGGAGGTCGAACTTCGCCGTTTTTACAAATTGTGAATAGATATACTGTATGAAATGGTATTGTGGGGAAGTTTGTGTTTTCAACTTTGGCGAATGTAAACTTTATGTAAATGGTGGAATTCAGCGTTGATTTTTTTTAAAATCGCTGATGTGCCGTTTTATTTCTGGTTGGCGCCACACTTAATAATAGATCTTCGAAAATGAAATTATGATGCCATGTGTGAACTAAATAAAAAAAATTGTATACTCCTAGTCTAAGTTCTGGGTCCCTGTAAAGCTTGGTGGATTTTGTATGTACTGCGACCTGTGAATGGGCATATACATATTCACGCAATCCTGTTACATTGTATCATGGAGGAACTAGCACTACTTCAGCGTCAAATCAGTGCCTGAAATTGCTGTAACATTGTGTTTTATAGAATTGATTTTTGAAAAATATTAGAAAAGTTTCGCAAATTATGGCAATGTAACATACAAAAGAATGTTATTTCATATAATATTATGATGTAACCTCACCGATTTTTGGATTTTTTAACGTGACCATATTATATATATGTCCAGACACTTTCTCTGCAATAATATTTGTTAGGAGTCCTTAGGATTTTTTGCTGTAGACTCTCGAAATCTTGTTCTTGTTACAGTTGCTAATAATTAAAACATGTGAAATCTGTGAAGTAACAAGTTCATCTGTTGAATTTCCAGTTGTGAAATGCGTATTTTAACCCTTCACAGCTAAACAAACCCAGTGTATGGTCGCGTTAAAAAAAAATGGGACCAAGAAATCGAAGGGCGATTTTTCGGCAGTTTTTAAATTAACTTTTTTAAATATTTTGTCGTAATTTATCGGACATTTCAATCGTTCCTGACACCTAAATCAGTCTATTCAAGTTTTTATTCAAGAGTGCGTTTATTGTGACTTGCGTGAATGGGTAAGCTTCATTTGGACAAAGAGGTGTTATCACGGTAAACAATGTTAAATTATTCTTCTAATGCTCAGTTCATCTTTTGATAACTATTTTTTTTATTTAAAAAAAAATCATGCCATTTTCCCATCAACATCCAAGCCAAAAGAGCGTACTACAACATCGGCAAATCT